TTTCATTCCCGCAGTTTCTGAAACTAAAACTAATTAGGCACGCTTTACGCTCTCACGAAATTAGGTTTGTGTTCGGTTCCTGCATTTCACTCTTTCTGAAAAAAAAATCACATATGAACTTCGTTAGTTTTTCAACTCCCTGATGTACGTCAGAGTTATGACCATTTTAATAGCGTTTGTCCTAAAATATTCTGTTAGGCATTATGAAAACAAACACACAAGACTTTTACAAGAAAGTCTCTGGTTAATTCTATCACTTGCTGCTTGCCTTTTGCAGGCATGTGCTCTTGGTATGAGGTGAGAGTATGGAACCTGTCTACTGCGTTGAACAATGCACATGTTTGCATTAGAAAATTCAAGAAATTAGAACCCTACGGAAGAGGTGTTTATGACCAAGACTGCCAAAATTTAGTTCATCGGAGTGCACAACTGCCAATACTGGTTTCGTCTCCCAAACAAGAGTGGAAAAGATTGTAAAAAAGATTATGCATAATATTTTTGAATCATTATTGAAGTCAATAACAGTTCTGTATAAAGATTTGGTATACTGTGAGCTAGGTTTAGTAGGTTTTGTTTGTGCTACAAATAAAGTATAAACTCAAACTGAAACACAAGCGTGGCACTAGTGATTATGCCAATGCACCATTCAATGTACAGCCAAGAACAGCGTGGGACATTTTATGCAGTGGCCTTTTCATCAGAAACAAGGTACCTTGGGTATTGAGTTCCGCTATAAATTTATAAAAAGACCTAGAGATCTGGATAAATTGAAGTGGCTTGGCACGCTTTGCATTGTATCAGTGAATCATTGTGCTTACTGAATAAACATATTGGCTAGCACGAGTTCGTGTACTTTGTTTTTTTTTTTCAACTGGACAACCTACATAGGACAACAACGGATAAGTTAATAAACTCCACTCTGGCACATCAGTGATGTGGCATTGCTCGATTGTAATTTGTCGCTTAGTCAGCATAGTGACTTTGATATCACTTCAAACAGTGCTAGCGAACTCTGCACGCCGGCTGCACCCGTCTTGATATCTTCATTAAAATTGCACGATAGCTTGTGAAATAACATGCAAGTTGTGCGACTTGCGAAGTGCGTGTGACAGAAATTGTCCCAACCTTGCCACATTGACAGCCACATGAGGTAAAATAAAAAGTTCTTTAGCGCGTTTCGCTTATAGTTAGGGTGAGGGTCAGACAATTTATAGTGATTCGTTCCCACCCAGATGAAAGGCTCACAAGTGCGAGTAACGAGACCTAGGCCATTACAGAATAATTACAACATATCGGTTTGATAAAAAAGCACCACGTATCAATGTCTTCCTGTTGTATATGAGAAATGAGCCGTTATATTACATATCATGCACTTCCGACCAGAATAAAATAATGAACAACAATAGCTGTCCGAATAAATTTAGTAGGCTGTATACTATGCAGAAATCACGGTGGTGTCTTCTTCCCTTTTGCATTTCAGTCCTAGTTGCAAAAATAAAAAGGCATACTCTCCTTAGAAAATTGAGACCTCATTCATGTCATTTGCTTTCATAAACATGCCTCAGAGAATGTTGAAAAAAAAACGCAGTGTACCGACTTCTCTTTTTTCAAGCCTTTGATGTATTCTGAGAATCACGATCCTCGGGGAATAACAAGAACAAAAATAAATCTGCATTCTGCTGTCTTGAGCGAATAGAACATTTGCCATCATGTGATATAAATAGAATACAGCGTGTTTCTAACGTACAGCAGGAATGGCAAAATAATTTTTACGCTTGCCGCTTGTATAGTAGTACTGGCGACATAGGGCACATTACTTCATTACTAAAATGCCTGAAGTTACACTTCAATGACTGCACGCTATACTACACACGTTTGAGTTTCAAATGTCCCGTACAGCTTTAGTTTGATCTTATTGAAAGCACAAATACCTTTCCCCTAAAACTCGTGAGCTCATTCTAAGGAGCGTGTGTCCCATTAACTTTCCTATAAACGTGAATGCCTTGACGTTGTATTTCAGCTATGAATGTTGATGTGAAGCCGCAAAGAAAATGATGGAGGACTTCCGTGAGCCATTGTAAGCTAATTGGCATATTGCCAAGCAATAGCTTAAATTCAGTGGTTGTTAGGAAAGGAAATCTGTGCATATCCGTGAAGCGAATGATCATGAGTGGGTGAAGCAGTCGGATCTTTCGGTGTTACCGTAAGTTACTCGCGACATTGATCACTCGCTCTTGCAAATATGTGCCAAAGTTATTTACAGTGATATACAATTTTGTTTGGTCTGTTGACATGTTGTGTTGAGTTGTGAGCTCCGTTTCGCCTTCATTATTACGGCTTTGTGGTATGGCATCTAGCCTGAAGTTGGTAAAGACGAGGTGGGTGCACGTTCCCCTGGTGGTTGTTGGTTGTTTCCGGTCCTACGAAATGCACCATAAAGCATATCGAGACGTCATACAACGCATAAGCCAGTTATTGTCCGGTATCAATAACGCCATCAGCGTCAATGTTATGGCGTATAGCGAATACTTTGCATGGGCTGTGTCGCGATGACAGAAAGAAAAGGCGTGGTCTGGAACTCGCTTGTTCTTCATCGTCATCAGCGTCATCGTCATGAGTCGTGGTGTATAGCGCGTGCCTTGCATGTGCTATTGCGTAATGTTAGAAAGAGAACGTGTGGTCTGCGACGCGCTGGTTCTTCTTGAGCCTCATTGTGATAGAGGGAGAATGGCGGATATGACTAGGCCCGGCAGCTTCGCAACCGAAAGGGCACCCGCCTACATTCAGATAGCTTGGACATAATGTGGTACTAAGAACTGACAGGCACTGTTGCCAATGGCGCTTGAACGACTACGCCAAATAGAAGCATCGTCGATGTGCGTCTGTTTCCAGTCCACCACGTCTAGGAGGTGATTAGGGCCATAAGTTGAGTGCTTAGCAGAATCACATATCTGCAGCAAGCGAACGAGAAGGTAGCGTATTTATGTTTGACGACGTACAAACTAGCCCCCCTTGCCGCCCTTGCCTTGGCAGTGTTTTGTTGCATTATGCTGTCGTTGCCTCTTCCCTTGTGAGCCGTTGGCAAGAATCAGCCGATAATGAAAGACTGCGATAGTCACACACATGACCCCTGCAATCAACATTATATTAGTAGTATCAGATAAACTATGGCAATTATAGAAGCGCTGCGGTGGCTTTCCGTCCGCCCTGACCATCAAAAGCGCACTGATGCCTTGAGGTTTTCTATTGATATTTGTGGAAGTGTTAGATTTATTGATGTGTGGAGTTTCACGTCCAAAACGATGATATGATTATGAGAAATGCCGTGGTATTCGCCCATCACAGCAGTACATTTTCCGTTTGTTTATGGATACGCCAGCGTTGTACTTATTCTGCATAGGAGCAGCCTAAAATCTGCCATTTTCGTCTTCCTGCGACTGATTTCAAAGCACAAAATTACCCACGTATAATTCACCTGAGACAAGTTTTGCACCTCCAACTATTTACTAGAGCCATCAGCACCATGACTACAAGGCGGTACTTTTTTTCAGCGGTACACAAAATAAATTTTCCGCCGCCATTAGGGTCGTAAACAACAAAACTGTGGATGGCAATCACTTCTTTTCGCATCCCTGTATCAAATGAGGTGTCACATGTGGGGGCAAAGTAAAGCGGACATTGAGCGTTCTGGCTGTTCTTTACCGGGCTACAGTGTACTAGAAGCTCTAATCAGGCTGTTCGCAATGATGACCATGTCGGTGCAGGCTGCGCAACATCGTGAGGGTCTTTAGCAAAAGTCTTTTTAAAGCGAGAGCGTTAAAGAGCTCGAGTCGCAGAAAACGTGCTGCCGGCGTCGGCCCCATCGGTTGTCGGTGAAAAATCGTCTGTGCGTCTATGACCGAAAAATCAAGTTACCGAGATAGCCACGGGAGGCCGCTACTTGTCCACGCGTGTGCGTGCGATCACACTGAGAAAGTCGCACATTCGAAGAAAAAAAGTGCTCAAGGTCACGAGGCGCGGTAGTTTCTTTGCCCTGTCACCCCTCCCTGCCTTGCTTCCAGCGCTTTTGTCGGGACGAGAGAAGAGATAGTGCAATTGCAGCATGCGACAAACTTTTGTAACTCCACTCGCACTGGACGGCTTCTTAAAATTTTTGCAGCGTTGAATCTGTGAGGCATTATACATTTCTAGTGAATTCATTCTTGGTTACTTAAAAAAGTGTTTTAGGGCCCCCTTAACGCATTTTATTCGACAGGTGTCACGACGAAAGCGAGCCCGTTCGGCGATAATAGCGCGTGCTGGTCCAATCTACTGTGTGCGTGTTTCTGTGCGTGCGTGTGTATGTAACAAAAATATTGTTGAGTATGCACCTAGCGGTTGAAGGGTGCACTAAGCGCCAAGTTTCGCTATTGCGTTCAACTCTTAAAGGCGAAGCTTAAGGGTCCCCCAATTTTTTTCCCTTTTCACCCCACAATTTCAGCGCTTCCCGCTCACCCTTTTCCAGGAAGTACTAATTACTCGAGAGTTTTTTTCGCGGCGCAATGTATTTCGTGGCTTGGTCTTGAAAACACGTCTGAATTATACGATCTACTGAACGAAAGAAAATCGGCTTTTATATTAGCATTTAAATTTGCTCCTATACGTTTGCCTGCTACAATGACGAGCATTGTTGCAGGTGCATTCAAAAAAATTACTCAGGCGAACCACAATCAAATAATCTATATTGCATACCACAGTATTCTTTCGCCCACCATCTGTAGCAAATGATAAATTTCACGAGCGCAAAAAAATAAAGACAAAGGACAACTCATACATCAACAAAAATGCAGAAATATGAGTTGGTGTCCTTGTTGAACACTTCTAGCCTATTGTTTTTTCCGCCTTTCTGCTTAGGTGTAAATTTACAAAACGCCCAGTGTTCAGTACTCTTCTCAATAACTGCACTGTCCGTTTTGCTGTTCGTGTGTCTATGCAATAACGCCTGTTGGCAGCATGGAAAGATGACGAAAACAAAGTTCATAACAGTGTTTCTCTTCAGCACTCATTTAGTCATGATGAATTGTGACTGGAACATTCTGTCAATGACACACGGCATCAGAAAGGTAGCGCTTTTTGGTTTTATAAATTAGAGTACCTTTATATAGAACCATGCAGCGCAAGTGACGTTAGTTTAGGAAAATCTCTGTGTTTAGTAGAGATTGCGTAAAATTTGTATTCGCTACACTATTTTCTTCTTCGGGTAGTATGGTTGTGAATACCAAATAGTAAATATCAAGCGATTTTCCTGAATGATCGATGTGGTGATGACAACATTCTCTTCAAGTGACGTTTTTATCACTTTCAGTGGAGCAGCTACACAGAGCTTTCTTTCTTTACCTACGAGGTACTTCTCGATCTTGCTCATTTGAAGTAATGATGACAACCACGAAATTATGCTTTCCATGTCAGCACAGGTGCAAATTAAGCCGCTCTTTCTCTTCGCGTTAGCTGCACACAATCTTTGTGTTAAGTTTAGAATCATTAGTGGTACTGAATTGAAATCACAAAACCACAATTTCAAGATATTCTTATTGAATGTTAACGTGATAGCGTTAAAGAACTCCTTTCGCAGAAATTCCGGTGTCGGCGTTGGTGTCGGCGTCGGTTTTGTTGGTTGTGAGCGAAAAATCGTCATCCTGTGCGTGAGCGAATATTTGGGAACGATGCAAATTAAATTAAGGGTTGATAAAAAATGCGGGGTCACAGTGGAGACCGAACCAGGGTTATTTAGGTGCGAGTGGGGATCGAACTTGGGTCAGTCGCGTGGCAAGCAGATGTTCTTTCAGACGGTCATGCTTCTGCTTATGAATACAATGAAAACAACATCTTCTGGTTGAAAAATGCAGTGGAAGTAGCATTCATGCTTTACAAACACACGCATCCTGGATATGTGCTCCGCATTGCAACACAAAATATTGCACTAAAAAAGGCGTGGTACAAGTGTTCGATGACAGCGGGCGTCAGCACACGTGATTATCCTAATGGCTTCGTGGTTTAAAGCCACACCAAAGTCCACAACAAACGCACATGCTACGGGACCCATTCCCTTAATTCTCATAGTAGGTGCAGAGCAAGTTCAAAAACGTTTCATGCACTAAGTGTTTGAAGTAGGCACAAGGAAAAGGATATCGCTTTTGCGTTGAACTCCTAAGGGTGAAGCTTTAGTGTCCCCTAATTTTTCAGATTTTTCGATATGCTTGAATATCCCAAATATATGAGTAACCGTCAATTTTCGTTCGATTTCTTTTTCTTGCTTTGTGTAAGAACGTGTATTTTGCAAACGAATCTGTACGTACGCAGTGCTACACGTACAATGCACGCAGTTGTGCTCGCAAAATGATTGATTGATTGATATGTGGGGTTTAACGTCCCAAAACCACTATATGATTATGAGAGACGCCGTAGTGAAGGGCTCCGGAAATTTAGACCACCTGGGGTTCTTTAACGTGCACCCAAATCTGAGTACACGGGCCTACTACATTTCCGCCTCCATCGGAAATGCAGCCGCCGCAGCCGGGATTCGAACCCGCGCCCTGCGGGTCAGCAGCCGAGTACCTTAGCCACTAGACCACCGCGGCGGGGCGCTCGCAAAATACGCTGCTCACCCGATCACAACAGTTGCAACAGGAACAACAAGAAAAAGCAATGTGGCCATACAAGTTAAACACATATGTTTCTACTCCGCAATGCAATTACCACATTTGAGAAAAATTAGATGAAAAGCATGTATGCTTTAGCTATTATAAAACTGATAATGCTCTAAGTGAAGTACATACTTTTCTTTTCAGTTTTTAAAAACTCCGCTACCTATATGGACAACCAACACAACCGAAGACAAAGTGGGAAAGCCACAATGTGAAGTGGACCTGCTGATGACTATAAGCAAATCCCATATAACGTACCTTCACTTGTGGTACGAAAAGTGGATGAAGTACGGTGATGTACAAAAGTGTGGCTACTGCATAAAATCATAGTTTCATTTAACAATTTTTTTATTGCTTTTCAGAAAAAAAGTCAGAATAACGGGAAGGTTTGATGAGAAAAAAAAGACCCGCATGTTCATTCATGTAAAAGGTAAATCAAATACGTCATTCCGTTTCTCATGAATCCTGCCAAAACATCAAGCTTGCAACATCTTGATTCATCTGCTAAGCACATTCCAAACGCAAGAAATTATCTTTTTGAGGTGTGACAGGCGTGCACACGAGGGGCGGCAGGCAGACGGTGCGATATGGGGGGGGGGGGGCGGGCACAATGCCGGCTTCATGCATTGACCTGCTAGCAAAATGCGGCAAGGGGTGCAAAGTCAGTCCCATGCATTTGAATTAAACGGGGGGGGGGGAGCACTGGACCGAAGCTTCGCTCAATTTCTTAAATAGGAACGCTGCATTTACTTTCATACTTCAATGAAAGCGACGTATTTCAATGGAGCTATCACTTGTTACTTGGTCAAACACATTTTCACTGGTAGAAACGCTGGAGCTTTAAAACAATGCTGGTAAACAAATTTCTTTTTAAATGGTGAATGGGCCTCTAAACACTTTTTCTAGTAACTATGGAATGAATTCACTGAAAAAGCTTATGACCTCGAAAATTCCAGGCCGCCAAAATTTTTAGAACCCATTTAATGCGAGTGAAGTTACAAAGATTCATGGCATGCCGCAATCGCATTCTCCCTTCTCTCATCGAGATGAAAGAGCTGGAAGCTAAGCAGGGAGGGACGGCAGGGGCAACGAAAAGAACATAACGTGTGCCTCGTGTCCTTGAGCACTTTTTCTTTTTTTTTCTTCAATAGCCCGGTTTTTTAGTGTGATTGCACGCGCACGCGTGGACAAGTCACAGCCTTCCGCAGAGATCTCTGTAACGACCGAGCGCGCGATGTTCAAATCAGCCAATGACTGATAGATGGGCTTTTTACGAGTGATTTTTGAGCGTCTTCCGTCATTTCTTCGAGAGAAGAGAAAACATTTTTGGCGTCTTTTATTATGAATTCCAGGCCACGTGCATCGCTGTAATATTTGGTTCGCGTGTTTAGGAAGCCTCTACTACCGATAGGCAACGTTTTCTGACCATGCTCACAAAGTGTTTCAGGCCCCTTTAAGCTGGAACTATACTACAATTAAGGATGGGCACTATTGCAGCATCTCCATGAACGCTCTTGGTATGAAATTGACAGTTTTGGCAGCGGTGGATGTCTGTGCGGGTTTATTAAAGACGATAGTCTTTGTAGGGGACTTTAGACGAAAATATTGCGATAGTATTTCTTGGGGACCTTCGATGCATACAAGGGTACTGGCGCATAGACCCTTGTGTGCTTCTCTCTACACACACAGAGAAAAAAGTTATAGCCTTATACTTTTACTTGCAGAACTGAATTACAACATTTCAGAAGAAATTGTCTATTTGAACTGGATCCAAAAATGTGCTGTTTTTATGATCACTGCACCTTATCCCGGTGAGTTTTACTAATGAGGTGTTTAGATTTACTCTCACCTAATTTTCAATTACGCTAGAATAATGTACATTCAAATTAGGATTTTTGTAGAATATTGCTCAAAAACTGAAGCTTGCTGAATCCTACGACGAGTATTTCAGAAAGAAATGCTTTCTTTTGCACACCAAGAGAACGTTCTACCTTAATTAATAAAGAAATAGGTTAGGGACATAGAAATATGTTTATCACTTCATGTTTCGAAACATTTCATGCTGAACATCCACAAATTTTCTTAATGAACGTACCACGCACAGCCGCACATTCTCAACGCACATTTTAAACATTCCACTTGTAAAAAGTCTGCTCTCAGAAAGCTGCAAAAAAAGGAAAGTAGTGCATATTATCGTGCCGTGTAATAGTAGTAAACTTCTGTTGTACGTAAATGTGAGCTGTAAGCATCACACTACTTGTAAAATATATCTTGATTATTTCAGCTCCGTATGATGCTAGTCGATATCGTCTTTATGGCCTAGTATCCATGGCACCTGCCACTACAGCTTCAGCTTCTAGCAGTAACTCTACATTTCCTCATGCACCACCGTCGCTGTTGAGGGAATGATGCCTACGGCGTCATTCTGGCTCTCAGCCGAAAATTAACGTGATGGATTTACCGGACTAGGTGTTCCTGAGGGGGGGGGGTAAACAACAAGAGGGAAGGCAGGGAGGTTAACCAGGCACATGCCCGGTTTGCTACCCTACGCTGGGGGAATAGGAAGGGGGCATAAAGGTGAGAGAGTGAGAGGAAAGAGAAGAGAAAGAGAGAGAGAGAAAAAAAGAAAAAAAAAGGAGCATTGTCAGTCAATCGGCTGGCGCGTATGCAGCGGTGGCACTACACAAAATTTAAAGGTGGTCACATAGGCCTGTAGTCCTCAAAAAGCACAAGAAAGCTTTGAGTGCTTTTTGAGCCGACGAAAGGTGATGACGGTGTTCCAGTAGCATCTGCACAGAGAGTGGCCGATCGTCCAATTGTCGCAGTGCGTCCGAAAGCTTCTGTCTTTCAGAGGCAAATCGAGGGCAATGGCATATCAGACGGTCGATGTCTTCTTTGGTGCAGCAGACGTCACATTCCGCATTGTCGGTCAATCCGATGAGGGTTCTATATGCTTTTGTGAAGGCAACCCCCAACCAAAGGCGACAAAGAAGTGAAGCTTCACGTCGACGAAGTCCGGATGGAGGTCGAAGTTCCAGTCGAGGGTTTATTTGGTTTAGTTTCGTATGTCTTATGCTTGGGGTGTTCCACTCCTGCAGACTCAGACTGCGTGCCAGGTGACGAAGTTGCTTTGCAGCGTCAGTTCTTGACAAAGGAATCGGAAGGGTGTGTTCTTCTTGGTGCGATGTGCGAGCCGCGTTGTCTGCGGAATCATTGCCACTGATCCCACAATGGCCAGGAAGCCACTGAAACTTGACCTCGTGGCCTGTTTCTGTGACGTGGTGAAGAAGCTTGACAACTTCGTAAGTTAATTGTTCATGCCAACCTCGTCGAAGGACTGACTGCATGCTCTGTAGGGCCGGTTTCGAGTCGGAAAACACAGCCCATTTACTCGTTCTGTGGAATTTGATGCATTCTACGGCGCCATGCAGAGCCGCAAGTTCTGCCGCCGTAGACGTAGTGACATGTGACAGCTTGATTCGCAGAGTGCTTCCTCTTGCTGGAATCACCACCGCACCGCCAAAACCAGACGCTGTGGTTGAATCATCGGCTCGTGGTTATTGTACATTTTGTGCAGAAGGCTCAAGCTCAATTGTTGTAGGGGTGATGAAGGCAAATTTTATTTTTTCTGTATTCCTGGAATTGAAACTCGCACTTGTGGAAGTGTCAGGCACCAAGAAGGATACACCAGTTTCTCAGCAGGCGTAAAACCTGACGAAAACGACGCATTATGAGCACAGACAATTGCACTGTTTCGTGTGGGGCCTCTCAGTAGCGAGGGTTGCCAAGTGGTGGGAAGGATTCCTAGCATGTTGCCTGAGGTACGTACGCATCGTTTCAATGGTGATGATGTGCGTCATGATCGAGTAGTCTTGTGCAATGGCAATTGTTTCAGCTGTCGACGCGCAGCGGGGTAAACCAAGGCATATCCTAAGCGCTTGGGCTTGAATATTTTGGATTGTGAGCAGGTTCGTTTTGAACGTGTTCGGTATAACAGGTAGGCTATACCGCAGGAATCCAGTAAATACTACCTTGTACAGCTGTAACATAAACTCGACAGACATTCCCCAACTTTTCGCAGCAAGAAACCTGAATAAGTGACAAATGGCAGTCAGCCGCTTTTTCACGTAGTTTACGTGGGGTGTCCAAGACAGGTTTCGGTCGATTACGACTCCCAAGAACCTGTGACTCCGGCTGCATGACACCAACTGCCCGTTAATTGATATGCCGTAAGCGGACATTGGTTTTCTGGTGAAGGCCACGACTGCACACTTCTCACTTGCAATTTCAAGCCCTTGTTTGCGTAAGTACTACGATGTCACTGATGCTGCCTGCTGAAGTCGAGCGCGAAGTTGAAGTCGAGTCACACCTGATGTGCACACACAGATGTCATCAGCATAAATGGAAAGTCGTACAGTGCTTGGTTGCTTGCCAACTAGTTCAATGAGTGTTAGGTTGAACAGCGTCGGGCTTGGCACTCCGCCTTGCAGGACTCCTCGGCTGCAGTAATACTCGGGTGTCGGGCCATTCTCTGTCTGCACGTGAAATGATCTATTCTGTAGGTAGCTCTGAACCCACGTATATATCCTGCCACCGAGTCCCACTCCTTCTAGTGCGCTGAGAATGGCTTCGTGGGTGACATTGTCGTAGGCCCCTTTAACGTCAAGAAACAGAGCAGCAGATAACCGTTTGCAGGCCTTCTGGTGTTCTACATATGTCACCAAGTCAACTACATTGTCAATTGACGAGCGGCCTTGTCTGAACCCGGACATGGCATCTGGATATATTTCGTAGAGCTCTAAGTACTATTCCAGACGCGTTAAAATCATCCTTTCCATAACTTTTCCCACACAGCTCGCGAGGGCAATCGGGCGGTAAGAGGAAATGTCCAAGGGTGACTTGCCGGCTTTGAGAAGTGGGATCAGGCGACTTGACTTCCATTCCTGTGGAACCATGCCAGTTTGCCAGGAGTCGTTGTACAGCTGCAAGAGTGCCTGCCGAGCTTGATTTCCTAGGTGACACAGAGCGCGGTAAGTGATGCCGTCAGGTTTTGGCGCTGAAGAACGTCTACACAAAGCAAGCGCAGCCTTCAGTTCGTCCATTGAAAACGAAATCTTCATTCGGGGATCACGTGAGGATACAGAAAAGTCGGGCGCCTTTGTCCCAGTTGAATTTGAGCCACAGGCGATCCTTCGACAGAAGAAATCTGCAACATCAATCTCTTCGCAGCGTAAGTGAATTGCCAGAGATTTTAATGGGTAGCGCTGAGTAATGGTTGTACGAAGACCCCGGACAGTTCTCTATATTAGTGACAGAGGCTTTCTGGGATCCAAAGACTCGCAAAAAGATACCCATCATTGCTTGTCCAACTTGTCCATGGGACGCTGTATTCTTTTTTGTGTGCGTCTGGCCACTCTCAGATCATCAAGTGACCTCGTGCGCCTATAACGTCGTTCTGCACGACGATGAATCGCTCGGAGTTTCTCGAGATCAATGTCCATATCAGTGCGAGATGAGCTCACCAGAAGCGAACGCATCGTTGACTGCAGGGCACTCTTTATTGCGTCCTCTAGGTTGAAAGGTGAGGCGCCAACATAGTCTTCCATGATTAACTTGTATTTTTGTCAATCGGTGCACTGGACGGCTCTGGAAGACTTGAGACTTGGAAAGCCGTCAATCTTCAGGTATGTTGGGATGTGGTCACTACCCCTTGTTTCCAAATACGAAAACCAGTGCACTCTGCGTGTGAACGAGCGTGAGACGAAAGTGAGGTCCAGGCAACTGCTATAGGCCGATCCGCGCAGATAAGTAGGGCTGCCGTCATTCACGAGGATAAGTTCACATTCAGAAGCGAAAAACACTAACTGTCTACCTCTAGTGTTGACCCTGGAGCTTCCCCATAAGTAGTGGTGGGCATTGAAGTCACCAGTTATCACCCATGGCTGGAGAGTCGAAGTCAAAATTCCGTGCAAGTGCTCTCGGTCTAGACGACTTGATGGATGTAAGTAGGCTCCGATGATGGTGAATGTGGTCTTCTTGTTTTTTACTGTAAGGCAAACGTACTGGTTTTCTTCGTCAGGGGGTACAGGGTGATGAACATAAGTTAAGTCACGCCGTATAAACACAACGACCTTGCTGCGCTCTCCGTGGGTAGAAGACATTAAGCACTCATATCCAGACAGTCTCATCTGGGCTGACAGGTTCGGTTCAGAAATCACAATTATGGAGAAGTGGTTCGTGAATACATATTTCCGGAACTCGGACATACGCGCCCTAAGTCCTCTGGCATTCCAATGAAGGACAGATGCGTTCTTGACCTCCTCGCGAAAGGATAACATGTTGCGGGCCATCGTTTTACCTTAGAGCGGCAAGCACCGGACTCAAAGTGTCCAGCTCTTGAAGTGCGCTCTGCGCTGATGGGGTGTTCATGTCGCTTAGGAGCATGCGCATTGCGCTCATAAGGGTCTGCAACATGTTGATGACCTGGCGATCCTCAGTTGTCTTTTCATCAGTGGTTCGTGATGGCATGGAGGTTGGCATCGATGCACCTCTGAAACAGGCTGTGTTCGTGGAAGTGATGGGCACTCTTCACGAGGTGGGAGTCTTGACCCTGATTCTGTTTTCGGTGTATCCGTCTTCGCAGAGCTTGACGATGGGGGGCCAGTTCTTTTCGCTTGAGATGACGGGTCTCTAATGGCAGATGCCACGTTGCGTGATGATCTTCTGTGGAGACGCCGACGTCGCCTGATAGTAGCAGCGGCTTGCCTGTGCGTTGAATTGTCGGGCACCATGCGTTTCAGCACCGCGCGTTCATTTCTCACTCGTGAGCAATCTTTAGACAACGCTTTATGAGCGCCGTGGCAATTGGAGCATTTGAACGCAGTTGCGTGGCAGGTGTCTTCTGAATGAGGTTCGGCTCACCGCGGGCACACGACATTGCTGGTACATACTCCTTTGACATGTCCCATCTTGAAGCATCTGAACCATTGTAGGGGCTTCGGTATGTATGGACGGACCTGATGCCGAACGTGGCCAACCTTGACGTGGGGGGAAGACTGTCCCCCTCAAAAACAATCTTCAGGCATCGTGACTTACCAAGCCTTGTGATGTGCTTGATGAGGATGTCGTCTGTAGTTGGCTTTATCAAGATTGGGAAATCGTCAGCGGGAATGGAAATGTACACGTCATAAATGACGCCAACACTGCCCTTACAGTCAGTGGGAATCACTGATTTAACTGTGACTCTGTCGATTTCCGAGATGTTCTGTAGGCATTGCAGCGCACTACGGTGTAGAACATCAACTGCCAGAATATTCTTCCGTGAGTTGATCCTGACGTCTTTAATTTCATTTGGAGCGAGTCCTTCGAGGTATGCAGAGAGGACTTGCCTGTTAAGCCGCCGTAGGTTGGCTGAAGGGTCCACAGCCATGAAGAGTATAGTGTGTGGCCAACGCTGCGCGGTAGCCTGCACGGTGGATATACTCGTCGTCGACGATGTTCGTAGCAGTCTTCTTTTTGCATTGCGGCTCATGACGACTGTGTAGTCGTCATCCGATGACTCGAAACCATCGGAATAGAGCTCCGTTGCCTCGCTGTCTGTGCCACTTGAGGTGGTCCCACGTTTCCTAGCCGCTGCCAGACGTAGCGGTTGTCCACCTCGAAAATCCTGAGAGGCTTCTTCATCCATTCTCGCAAAGAGGGAGCAGCAGCTCCCAGAATTTGCGGTAAAACAAATAGAAAATTTGAGACAAGGGTACAAGCGTTCTATGAAATAGACACTTCCAGGTGTTCCTGAGAATGCAGTATACTCTTTATACTTATATGTGACATCACACATGCTACCAGTTGAATCCAACGTCTTACCGGGCACCCTCATATGTTAAACGATTCCTTCTTCACTGAGTGAAACCCACCAAACGTACGACGTACCAAACTATATGAACTTGGCACTTCACTACAACTTTTGTTTTCGTCCTCTTTAAAAAGGTAACAGTACTTATTACAATATCAAGATTTTGCAACACACAGGCATTCATCATTGCCCTGGCTTTTAGATAGCACATTTTTCTTGTTTTTTAGGGCGGTGGATCTGGTTCGATGTTCGTGTTTGGAACTCTTCTATCGAATACCGTCGTTACTCTGACTGTATTCGAAAATTCAAAAAACTGCCACAGAAGGGACGCAGAGTCTACAATGATTACTGCCAGAATATAGTCCATGAAGGTGCATAACTTCCAATACTGAATATGAAAAGTCAAGAAAATTAAATTCAACAGATATAAAAGGTAATGCACAAAATTATTCACTGAGACACAGCGACATCGTTTCATCTTAGTGATTGCGTAACCATCATCATTCATTGCTTTGTTCTGTTGAAGTAACAACAGTCACTTATTAGACTCAATCAAGTGAACAAAAATTTCTTGTGAAATGTAATGCGCAACATAAATCGCATGAAAAGCCAATATCCTCTATTTCTTGGCATTTTACTTGCTTGACGCGCATGCGGCACCAATAAAACAGAGTAGGCGCATTTTTTCAGATACGTGAAAATTCACTGTACTCCTCTTCTGGGAGTTCATCCTCTGGGATTTTACATAAATGTTTGCGTCGCGTGCTACAAGCCTTATTTTCGACCAATCTCCTGAGTCGACGTGGCTGATGCGCGGGCCCACGGGTGACTTTATTTTCCTCGTGCACTGTCGCTAGGCTTCCACGTCCGGCACGTGCCTCTCTGTTATTCATCACACTCAATAACTTCAATGAATTCAGGGAAGTTGTTTATACAGAAAAGCTGCAGTATGCTATATTGTACGGCTGCCTTTTTGAGACCTAACTGAAGGGTTTCTTGAAAAGAAGACTACAAAAACCAATGCACTAAAGCGTTTCATCGCTGACATTTTCCTCATATGGCACCATAAAAAAGCTGAGTGAGTCTTTCATCGCACACTTTAATGACGCTCATCTGTGAATCTCTATCACGCCAGCCCACTCGCAATATACTATAAGTATTCTCGACGTCATTGTGTACTTGTCTATTACTAATCTAACAACAAAGCTTAAAAAACTGATAACCAGACACAGGCATCTGCATTTTGAAAGCAGCCACAAGACGAACATGCCATTCAGTCCAGCACTTATATTTGAAAGGTTGTGCCCTCCGGGTGCCGACTTTCACACTTGCTCTGAGAAGACGCTTGTTGCGCTTGCAGGACACAAGTGCCCACCCCGAATAATAGACGACGCTATAGACGTGCAACTAAAGCGGACATACACAAGCTTTTCAGCTCGAGCGAACATGTGCTATGCGAGAAACTGCGCCAATCTTCGATGCTCAGCTTGAAAACTTCGGTAAATCATAATAAAATAATTGTGGCGCAACTGATACAATTACAATGTAAAGGTCTGATATCGACTGATATCAAGCACTATAAAGATGTATCTGTTGCGCCAAAAAGATTTCATTAAGCTATACACCAACTCGCCCAACGTCACACTCTGCTAAAGCATAACCGGTATATCAGTCAGAGTGCAGCGCTATTTTTCATATAATTTGACCACCACAAGGCGCACGTTACCATTACTCTCAACTTCCCTCATTCTAAACACGTCAGCATACAAGGTCACTTACTCGATAAACTAACAACCTAAATATTGAAAATCCGGTTTTAGATCTCTTCATGGAAAAAGCAGCGGGAAGGATTCCACGTCTGCAAATACAGGGCAATATCTCCTAGCATTTAGGGAGGCTCAATCACTGCAATTCCTGCCAGCGTAACCAATGTGCCAATCGTTGTTACTTTTTTCAGAAGCAGGCGTGGCGCTTCTTTGAGTGATTGTAGCATTACGGTTGCCTAATAATTTCTATTTATTGTTTTCTTAACACAATAGCTGTAAAGAGCTCGTTTCGCAGGAATTCTGGCATCGTCATTGGCGTTGCCTGACGGGTTGTGAGGGCAATGTCTTGTCCGTGACCGAAAAGTTGAGAGAGAAGGAAATAAAACAAGCAATAAAAATTTGTGAGTCCGAGCGAGGCACTGGGGCCATTTGCATGAAAACCAGGTGTGCGACCACACAGCCACGCATCTGTTCGGAAATGCAGTAAAAGAAAAAAAAACTTCGATGCTTAACGAACACACGCATCTTGTATAGAGGCTATACGTAATATGGCCGTATTGCATGGCACAAGCGTACGTTGCCATCAGGTGCCAGAACATGTGATTAGAATAATGCCTTCATGGTTGATAGCTGGTCCGTTCTGTTGGCGCCACAATGAAAATTACTCCGCTTGCTTCCCAGTGGTCTAGTTCCCCATATGTACTCAGTCCCCGAGTGCATACGACATCCAAAGTGCTCCCCGTTGGGTAAAAACATACTCATAATGCCGAACTACGTCATTGTTGTCATGTTGCTTCATTGAAGCAATTCGATGAAATAAGCGCAGTTTCTCAGTGACTAAGGCCCTCAGTGTCACTGATAGGTGTCTTCCGCGACGAAGAATTCTATTTCACACGTTTTCTCAGGGCCAGTCACCTGAAAGCAAATGCACCGTACTGCTTGTTTCTGAAATTTGAATGTTTTTGGAATGAAGGCAATTGTTTATTTTGAATGCGAAGCATTTCTTTCCGTCCTGCCTACCTTTTCAGTGTCCATTTATTTATCTAGCCCCCTACGTCTGGGTGCTCTCATGATCTACCCCTAACTTGGTAAAAGCCAATATTAGTATGGAAAGCTAAGATGGTTTGACGCATGTGACTCGCTTGTAATGACTTGAATATGTCACATTGTATTCTCGTACAGCGTCAAACCTTTTCCGCCATACGAGTAGCACATATTCATGGGCACTTATGTGCCATTGGTATGCGGGTATGTGCAATAGGTTATTTACAGTCTATACCAATCCAGCAACGGCGAGGACAAGCATGGGTACTTTTACGCGTGAGCTTTAAGACAAAGATGACATCGGCAGTGTTGACCTGATGAAGGTTAGAAAAGAACGTGTGAGGGCCTCAGCAGGAATCGAACCCCTGTATTATTCGGGGCAATGAAGCCGTTTCCCACTCTAGCCTTTGGGTGTTCTTTGCGGTCATGAGGTAGAGTAGCCCCTCATTCAGTGCCTCATGACTAAAATCATATTGCAGTAATTTTTTGTTTAGTTGTCTACAGATATGCAGGGCGGCGTCTTGCTTTCCTCGTGTTCGAAATATTGGCAGTCACGCTACTCTGTGAAATATTCGGTGTTTTGCGATAGCATATCACCGTTGGTGGT